TATATATTGGGATTCTAAAGCTTTTTAAAACTTTCATAGCATAAGTTCCCAAACATCAATCTCACTCGAGAATGCATCACCAAAAAGCAAAGATGTAGCAACCTCAAGACTACTTTTAGGTGTTGTCCTCGCAAGTCAATTAAAGTGATAAAGAGATGTGAGATTTCATACAATGCAACTCGACTAAACTACAAAATTCAATAACCAAATTCCATTTTTATAACTTGGGTCACTCAACTTTGTTGCAAATATGTTTAACAACAAAATTAAGACATGATTGTTGATGACTTGGCATAAGTTAACTCATTATCAGTGACATGTCATGTAACATGCCGTGACATTACACGAATCAATTTATGCAACAAGATGAAAAATGGCACAACCCGTGGATGGGGCCCACATTCTAGTCAACATCAATCTCATCCAATATCACTCCACTCAACTCCTCACCACTCACAAGCATCCTAAGCCCATCTTTCAACTCTCCAACACCTTCTTCAAGAACAGCACAAACCGGAAACATCTTCACACCACTCACCCTTCTTCTCAACTCATCATACACTTCACTAGCCCCAATCTCATCAATCTTATTAGCCACAATCAATGCGGGTCGACCCGACAAACCCTCATGGTAAAACTCAAGCTCCATTATCAAATCCCTCAACTGCTCCCATGGTGGGACCCCTTTTCTACCATCTAACCCCGCACTTAAGTCAAGAACATAAGCAAGAACCCTAGTCCGTTCTATATGTCTCAAAAAAGCATGCCCGAGTCCACGGTTTTCGTGGGCCCCTTTTATAAGCCCGGGAATATCAGCCACAGTGATTGACAGGTCATCATAAGTTAAATTTCCTAAATTAGGTCTCAAAGTTGTGAACGCGTAATGCCCTATTTTGGGTTGGGCTTTTGATAAAGCTCCTAAAAGTGTACTTTTACCCGCGTTTGGCATCCCCACAAGACCCACGTCAGCAATGCTTTTGAGTTCGAGTATTAAAACGGATTCGGACCCGGGCGACCCGTTTGTGTGTGACGGGTTGTCGATTTCGTTTTCTTGAAAGTCAAAGTTGTTGACTTTTTCATCTTTCTTGGAATTTTTAAAAGGTTTTGAGAGAGAGATGTTGCCTAAACCACCAATTCCACCATGAGCAATGATTATGCGTTGACCGGGTTCGGTCAACTCAGCAATGTTGTATTCAATATGTTCTTCTTCTTCTTCTTCTTCTTCTTCTTCTTTTTCAATTTCTTCCATTGTTTCTTCAGATCCACCATTGTTGGTCACTCGAGCTTCCCATGTGTTGATAGTTTCTTGATTCCAAAAACTGAAGGTTTCTGAATCCTTTGGTTTTTCTATCTCAATGGCACTTCCATTGGATTGCTGACATGTGGCATTTTGGGTAGACTCGAGGGTATTATCGGGAATCTCCCAAGGGTTCAAAGGTGTAGATTGTACCTTTTGAACTACAGATGGCATCTCACCTTCAACAAGATGAAGTACAGTGCCAACAGGTACTAGAACAACCTGAAAATATTATTATTTTTTTATTTGTTGAAAAATGTGTAGGGGAAATAATAAAATATGAAAGTAAATTATAACCTTGTCATCTCCTCGGCTTCCTATCATGTTTTTTGAAGCTCCATGTCCCCCTTTCTTTGCATTCTGTAAAATACCATAAAATGGTTGATTTCATATTTGGGTGAAACTGAAAATTAATAAGAAAAATAGGGAAAATTTAACAAACAATGTGATGTTGTAGGCTGCTCAAATCCCATATTGTTGGTGAACATTCTAGTATCACATCTCCACCTCTTCCACCATTGCCACCTACATGCCACAGATTAAGATTAGGGAAATATTTTAAAGTACAATATCCTAATAAAAATATATTTAAAAGTACAATGTTGTAATAAGAAAAAAAAAAGGAAAGTACATTGCTATTTCTTGTATCATTTGAATACTACCAAATTAATTACTCACCATCAGGTCTGCCACGGCGGTCATGGCGGCTCCGGTGGAAGCTAAAGCAACCATTGCCGCCATCTCCTCCTTTAGCCCACAGCCTGCGACAGTCTATCATTCTACGCTCCTTCAACAACAGAAAATACAAATTAAAAAAAAAAAAAAAAAAGTGTAGAGAAAATAATGTGAGATAGGATAAAGATTATGTAAATGAAGTTGAAAAGCTGTTGTTACACTTGTTCATAAGGAATAGGGGTAAAAAAGGAACCTGTAGGGGTGCAAGCTTTGGTTTTTTGAAAGGGGTATCTGAAAATCTTGAAATCTGGAGAATCCATGGTGATTTTGAGCAATTTTGTAAAGCCTCCAAATAATGAAGAGGGTTCTTGCAACGTGACCACATATTTACTAATTTCTGATGCTTCGAGGTGGCATAACATTCGTGTAGGTTATCAATTCAACCTTTATTGGAGCTCTTGAATGTATATAACAAAAACTTGATTACTCGATACAAGTTCCACAACCACTTGTTCACTCAGACAAAACATCGAACATCTGGACTGCAACTCTTAACCATCGAAATTTATGACCTTATCCTATTCATATAACCAAAATAGGTTATGGAATCACTGGAAAAGATGTGGAATAATCAAAATACATAATACTAGAAATAGCCAATAACAAAAATGTAGTCGGTGATTCAAAAAATTTGAAGTATCAGTGCACAAGATGATATCTTTTCGACAAAACAACATTAGCAACGTAAAATTACCTGGCAAAGATTACGGGGCATACATATTATAAGAGCGAAATATGTCAAAGCTTTGGCCTTTCGTTCTATTGGTTTTCACTAGACACTTTCCAAGAGAAGCTCGCATCAAAGCAGCATAAACCCCCCCGCCTCTGTTTGAGACTTGGAGACTTGAGAGTTTCTAAAAAGAATTTTGGTACAAATTTTCAATTAAAACCCCGAACATTTATATATAAACATTTAGAACCTTGACATTGCTCTCTGTTACTGATTAAATTTTAATTTGGTCATTTTCTTCCTAAAAAGGTCGTTCTAAAAAAAAGTAATAATAAATAAAAATGTTCCGGTAACTTTACATTTTATCCTTCTACACATTCGATAATAAGAATATCACTTGTATGTTTCTGCTTATCGGTTATATTAATCATATACTTTTGATCTAAAAATAAGTTACAAGATGAATAAGAGGCTGGCTTTATCGCATCAGTTTCTTTTATGAAAGGTTTCGACTATAAAATCTTTGTGTCTGTTATACGCGGTATAGTACTTGACTTGCATCTTCAAACATGGTCGGCTTTTCATTTTTATGAAGTGATTTTTTTTAGAAATATGGTATAATTTGATTTTTTTTTTAAACTTTGATTTTTTTTAAAACTTTAATTTATGGATTTGATACAATTTCTTTTTATAGTTTCCATAATTTTTTTAAAACTTGATGTTTTTTAAAAAACTTTGAATTTTTTAAACTATTTTAGCGTTTCTTTTAATAATATTTTCAGTTTCGTTTATATATATTTTTTAACATGTGTGATTCTTTTACGAATTTTCTAGAAACTGTTTGCAATATTTTTCTTAATTTTTTATAATTTCCTTTTTTTATGTTCTTTAAAATTTGTTTTTCAAGAAAAAAATTGATAGCTTCTTTTACGTTTTTTTAGAAATTTTATATTTTTGTTTTTTATATGTTCTTTTTAGTATTCTTTTAATGTTTTAAGACTAGAATTATTAAAAATTTCGGTGTTGAAAACTATATTCAGTTGTAAAATCAGTATATTTCAATTTCAATTTATTGCAGCAGCCAGTAGATGTTAAAAAAAACAAACAAACTTCTTATTACATATAGCAGCCGTTTGGTCCACCTCTTCTGCTGTAAAGAGTTGCAGAGGTGGTCCGCAAACTTCATGGATTTTCGCTTCGAAAAAACAAACAGTAGCTATGTGGATTAAGTTAGAGGTAGTTTGATAGTTGCTAATAGTTGCTAACTAGGTTAGAGCTGACTGGGTTACAAGTTCTGAATGTGTCAACATCTGACCGAGTTTATATTGTTTGATTATTTATCTGATTGACTGTGGTGAATGATAAAAAATGATCGTATAACCTTTATGCTGTGCTAGATAAAATAATTATACAAATACTAACTATCACATAAAATCTAAATAAAACATATATCATTTAAAATCCAAATACAAATTGTCGTATAAAATCCAAATACAAATTGAAATACAAATAAAAAACAACATAATAATTTGCATAAATATTTAACGTTAACCATTTAAAAATAGTTGATTAGCAATTTGGTTACGCAAAGTAGCCATATATTCAACAGCTTCTGAACCCCATTGTATGCCTTGTACATTTTGGCCCTCACTTCCTCCACATTGCACGTTTGGATTATCCATATTGTTTTGTTCAAAGTTTGTAAATAAGTCATCTTGAATATTGAATTTCCATAGAAAATTATGGACCGCGACACACGCAATGACTATGTCTCTTTGCACTGGAAACAGATAAGGAGCCATTCGTTTTAAGATTAGGAATCTCGCCTTCAATACACCATATGCACGTTCAATAACATTTCTAAGTTTTGCATGAGCATGATTGAACCTTTCTTCCTTAGTTAAAGCCATGTTTCTTCGAAAATCGGCTAACCAATACCTAGTATTGCAGTAGGGAGCCATAAATCCACGTGTTTTGGTATATGCAGCGTCACAAAGGTAATATTTATCTATAAATTAGTGTCACGTTTATTATATGTGTGTGTTGGTGAAAAAGGTAATACTAATTATATAAAGAATATAGATAATAAAAGTTATAAAAGATTACATACCTGATTAAGGGAAGGGAAACCCAACACATTTATTATATATGCAACTTCATTCAAAACTTTTGAATCATGTGTTATGCCCTCCCATCCAGCCCATACAAAAGGTGAATATCATATTAAAATCATAAATTCCTATTATATTTCGATAACATTCACCTTTTCCTCTTCCCCTATGTCGTTCCGAAGTATGTCTTGTTGTATTAGAAAATGTTTGTACTATAATTTCTCTTGCAAAACACATCATTGCACTTAGGACCTCGGGAAAACATTGATAAATCGTTTGTGTGGAGTGGTAAAACCTTCCTTTAATAGCTCGAAAACGTTCGTTATGTCCTATAACATGTAAAAATATAGTCATTTTCTCTTCAACGCTTATTGACCTATGTAACGCCCGCAGATCCGGGCTAGTCAATTTAGAGACAATGAGCATCAAAAATGAGTTTTTGATGGAAGATTATTTAGAAGGAATAGTCTTAACCAAGTGGTAGTATATGTTACAAGGGNATAAGGAATAGTCTTAACCAAGTGGTAGTATATGTTACAAGGGTTCCGTACATATAAAGAACGCCGAAATCCGAGTTATAACGAAGAAGTTATGGCCCGTCGAAGTTTTACGGCAAAACCGGCATGACACCGGAAAGCGTAAATAGTGAATTTACGATAGAAGCCTTTTTGGACCTAGAATTTTAAACAAAATTGTAGTATACGTTAAACCTAGAACATACAAAAAAACGCCCAAATCTGACTTTGTATGAGGAAGTTATGAATTTTCTAAGATTTGGCATAGCAGTGCANAGCCTTTTTGGACCTAGAATTTTAAACAAAATTGTAGTATACGTTAAACCTAGAACATACAAAAAAAACGCCCAAATCTGACTTTGTATGAGGAAGTTATGAATTTTCTAAGATTTGGCATAGCAGTGCACGGCCCGAAACTCGAATTTTAGATCGAGCGGTTTTTGGCCTACGCGACCTAAGTGATAGTTGAAGATCTCATTAATAGGAACTCAACGGTAAAAAGACAGACGAAAACGGAGTCCGTATGAAGAAGTTATGAATTTTACACGGACATTTAACAGTATAATATCCTCGTACTGTTAAATTTAAGATCGGTCGAGAATTAGCCGATGGAGTCTAAAT